CATGGAGGAGCAAACGACATCTGAATCGGATGAGTCATGCATCAAAATGACATGCATACCAATTCTAATAGCTTCTTGTTACTACTAGTAAGGCACCTGTTACTACTAGCGATGCACTTGTTACTACCAGCTATTATTTACCAAAAAGAAAGACTTTGGTGGGTTTGGCTCGAACGCCGAGACTCCCAAGGTCTCTTGAATGACCCTCCGGATGAACAGAGCAGGGCACAGCCGGCACGGCCGGCATGGCCAGGTGGAGCTGAGCTTCGCGCATAGATGTTATTGATATGTTGATAGGCCGCCCATCCCTGTTCGTTGAAGAGCCTCAGGCACGTCGTTTATTTTTGGACCACGAGGAAGGAGTTGGAGGATGTTGTAGGTAAAGACTTTCGGGGCAATTGGCATCCTGCACCGCCTCATATGTTCTACTTCTTTCCCAGACCCCTTCTTGTTCATGGACGCATTTTGTGAAGCCATTCAGGGCCCATTTATTCAGATGTGCAGGAACAAGTACTGTAGTGTAAAAAGAGATGAGCAATGTGCCATGTCATGCTATGTCATGGGTCAAGAACATCTCCCGAACCGGAATCAACCATGGCTCGTGTCCTGAGACTAAGGTCCTGGTCTAGTAGACTCTCACACATAAAACCGTATTTGGTCCAATGTACGGCTCAAAGCAAGTTCGACAGAATTTCTTGTCCTCGTGGGAGAATAGAATTCAACGACCCGCTCATCATCTGCGACTTAAACCTCATCCGTTAGGGACTTTTGGTATCCAACAAGACGAATTCCCTTCACCACAGCTGACTCCCAATGAAGCTACTAGGAGCAAAGGGCATCGCTACTAGGAGCAAGGACGCTACGAACGGGGCTCCTGGCCTTACTGCTAGGAGCAAGAAGCTAGTAGAAACAATATATAGAATTTAATTAGAATTAAAAGGTTCACCTCTTCCATCCCACGTACCCTCCTCGGTCGAACCAGCGGCGTGACACACCAACACCGGTGGTGCCGCGGCTCGAGTGCGCTCTTCGAGTGCGCTCTTCGGTGGCCGCACTCTGCTTTCGTCGACTGGAGGGTCTGCATGCTGTCGTGAAAGACCTCAGGGCCGCTGTCGGCAACAGGGCAGCGCTGTGGGACCTCTGGAACTCTGGGAGCGATCGCGATCGCTACGCATCGGAGCGAGGCCTTACTCTACTTACTGCGCTGGGGCGCTCTGGCCTTACGACTCCGAACGGAACCAAAAGGGAGGCCCGGTCGCATCGAAAAAGCACTCGGTACCTTTGAGCCAATCCACCAGGTGCGACCAAAGATATCGAAGAACTGTTGAATTGACCAGGCCACAGTACGCTTCGAGGCGCGTCCATGGCCCATGTGTGTCCCTCGGGGATCCCGACAGGCCACAAGATGGTCCGGCAAAAGATCAGGAAGGCGTCGAACTCCTCCCCCGGCGCGGGTGCACGTCGAAGGTCGACCGGCTCTCTCTTCCAGCGGGATTCTTCACAGCTTCTTGGGATCACCAGCAAGGAAGCACCCTCACAAATCCTCACGTAAATCTTTGCTCCAATCCGAGAAACGCCTTTCCCTCGTGATTCGTGATTTAAAGAATACATCAGGTTCAACACGGTCCATCGACCATGTCATGAGTTTCACATGGTCACCTTCCTCGAACCAATGACGAACCCCCCCAAAAAAGCGTCACCGTGACCGCCCGCCGCGACCACACGCGCGGCACCGCGCCTTCCGCGGAGGCCACACGGGGATGAAGTCGTGGGCCGCCTTGGTCCAACGGAGTATTCGTCCGCGCCAGGACGGGACGTTCGACGTGTTGAACCATCTTGAAGCAACTCGAAAATCGAATGAAGAAAGGCTGGAAGAATCGAAACAACCGACTAGCGATGATGGCCTCCAACCTACTCGAAACAGTAACAAAAGCTCGTTTTGGAGGAAGAGATCCGTTTGGAGATCCCGTTTGGAGACCCCGAAGTCGCCGCCCAAGGGGCCAGGAGCCGCTCGATGTCCCGCTTGTCTTTCTCGGTCTCCGGGTGGACGCCCGGCCAGCCGATGTTCACCACCTACGCTCCCCGTCGGAGGGGTCGACGGTCCATGGACGCGGCGGTGGTTTGGATGACTCTGCGTGGTTATGCGTGGTTGGTTTGGCTTGGTTTTGGTTTTGGTTGGTTTGGTGAGTATCGTTCGGTTCGATTCACTCTTCACTCTTTCTCCAGTCTGAGCGGGCACCTCTGATCCGAGCCTCCGCACTGGTTTAGAAAGAGACACCCAACGGCCCAACGGTTTTGAGGTTTCCAAGGGATCCAAGTGAAAGGTCCACTGAGATGGTCCGTTTCAAAGGTCGGTTTTTCTTGATACCCCAAGAGTTTTTTGGGATGAAGAGTTCCAAGGCATCTTCCTGTCCATAGACCCACGCCCATTTGGGCGGCCTTCAACTTCTTCTTTTCTTTGACCTCCTGAGCAGGCGGATCCCCAAACCAGAGAAACCACGCTGGTGCAACCACACCATGGTTCGGGTGTTCAACCAAAAGAAGAAAAGACTGCAGAATACTCAACAAATTGAGGTCAATCCGTTCCTGGAATCCATTTTTGGTTTGAAGAAGCTACTGCAAAGAGAGACCCCTGAGGGCTTCGGACATTCTTCCAAGTGATGAGAACCCCCGGCCCATTCGTTGAATCCGCTTTCAAGCGAAGAACTGGTGAGGGTCCAATACGACGCGTCTCCCACAACGACAGAATCACAAAAGACCTCCCCCATGCAAACCATATTTGTCTAGTAGTGGATACTGTATACATCTGTACACTAGGAAACCGAGGCAGAGAAACGGATCACAAAAATGAAGAACGCAAGATCAACAAACATATTGCTCTTACTATGCCCATTTCGCTGTGCCGTCAAACATGAACCCCCATGCCGCTCCACTTCTGGTTCGTCTGTCGGTCCGTTCCGGTTGCATCACTGTTCTCCATGGATACGCCCGCGATCGATAAGTACGCCCGCCACGACTTGTAGAGAAGCGTCTGGTGTTTTTGAAAGAGCGAAGAATGAAGCAATGAAAGCACAACCCCATGCCCACATGACAGGGGGAGGAGTGAGATGTGTCCACCAGACATGGTGCAGGGGATAATTTCCTAAAGAAGTAGCTGGTCTCGAAGGTCTCGATGACCACACGACCTTCCCGTGGCGGTGTCCATCACCTGAACCCCATGCCACCGTCCGTCTGACATGAGCAAAACCCCTCCTGCAGCAACGGCAGAAAGGCAAAGTTACGGCCATCAGTGGGTGCCTGTCGCTCGTCCCATCGCTCGTCACTGTCGTAAAAAAAATGGTTTTGGGTCATCCCGTTCGAACTGATGCTTTGAGATCGGCTTTTGCTTTTTTCGCTGGATGTGTAGAGTGTAGGCTGCTGGCTAGTCCATACGGCCGTGTGAAGCATGGCTGGAATGTCATGGATCATCGAACACGCGAGTTCTCCAAGACCCTGGACAGCCTGAAGAGGCGCTTTCCGGATCTGGAACAGAACACATTCTTTAGCAAAAAGACCTTTTTTTAAGCTCAAGGCTCACCTACAACACTAGGGTAGCCCCCAACGTCCCAACACCACTCCGATCAAAGCAAAGGTCCATCCACACCACGTGGTCAGTTGAAATCGACGCTGCCACCCGAAAAGAGCCCGGCGCCTTCTGGCTCAGCTTCCATACCTTGGATTTGCTGGACCAAGAATCAAAGTGGATACCGAGACTCAAGACCAAAGTCAACGGCAGGATTGTCCAAGCCAAGCGAGCCAATAGTAACAAGAAGCTACGAACGGGGCTCCTGGCTCGCTACTAGGAGCAAGGACGCTACAAACGGGGCTCAAGAAGCACGGCCAGGCTAGGCAGGCTACGCCGTCGGTGTCCTTAAAGACCTTCACCGGCAGCTGAAAGGCCTCAGTGCCGACATCACCGTGTCTCAACCCGGAACGAAGAAAGGGATGGGAGTTTCGATCGAAAGGCCCAGCTTGGCCCGGCCTTTCTTCCTTCAAGGAAACAAAGTGCCTCTGGTGGTTGTGATTGTTTTGAGAGAGGAGTGCTTCCCTTGTGTTCTTCGCTTCAACAAAACTGGGCGAAGGAGAATTTGTGGGTGTGGGTCTCCCAGCGCAAAAAAAAGCTCACAACCAACATTACCAAAAAAGTGGTAGAAGAATGTGGTCCATCAGCTAGGAGCAAAGGGCATCGCTACTAGGAGCAAGAAGCTAGTAGGTTGGAGGCCATCACTATGGTGAAAATCACAACATCTCACAGCTTCACCACACATCGCCAGCGACGTTGGAACCGGCGCCCGCGCCAGCATGAAAACGGTGTCCGTGGCGCCGATGTCGGCCTTGCCCTCTAGCTCCTGGAGTGTGGGAGCATGGACAAAAACATACAAAAACCATGACAATTACCATACAAACTTGGATTTATACATCTCTGGAGAACTCCAAAGCTTGCCAAATCACCGCGTCACTGCTTATTAACTTCAAATGCCTTCGAACAATTGAAGTGTTTCACTTTCTTGCAGAATGAACTCCCAACCGCGGATCCGTGACGAGAAGAATGACCGCTTTGTGGGGGGATATGAACTGAACTACTGTATCCTCTATGATCCTTCCGAGAAACTCCGATCATCAATGAGATTCATTCCACACATCCACGCATTCACTCATGCTTTTCGGCTATGTCTCTGAACCACCATCCTCATCCTCATCGTCATCAGGATCCGAAGCCCTGTGACGTCGGACATTCGAGCCCGGCCTTGATGAACGAGAGCTTCTGTTCTTTGTCCATGCTGAAGGGATTCCGCCTCAGCTCAGCTTCGTCCCAGGGCCTAGAATGCACTATACAATCTATACATGAACAGACCGACCCAAGCCGGAACCGTGTTTCTTGAAAGAACCGACACTGGAACCTGCGACTGGGCGCCACTTCGGTGGATTCGGTCCACTTCGCTCGCTTGGCCGAACCCAACGAAACGGCGCCGAACCAAACGTGGGCCTTTTGGAGAATCGCCGTGGATCGAAACGGCGTCTCTTTGGACTCGCTCCCTGTTCCTGGCTCTTCCGTTCAAACCTGTCGCGATTTGCACATCCCCCTCCACAATTCCGTCGTTTGCTCGTCCCTTGAGCCGCTCCCCAGCGTGGAAGGAGCGGAGCATCTTGGGCCCCCAACGACTTGGAGTTCGTGCGGGGCACTCCCACCTGGCGAAACCCGGGGGCCATGCACAGTCAGTTCCTGGAAGCACCATGACCTCCTAGTAGCGATGCCACGCGCCCTCGATCTGCATTCGTAGGTTCCATGAACGAAACACGTCGCACTATATAGCAAAGCTACGAATCCCTTTCTCTCGGCGCAGGTTGAATCAAACATAAAGCAGGTTCCTTCACAATCCAAATCTGGGGCTGAATGGTCTGCACTTACGTCCTCGGGGTCATAGAAACTGAGAACTGGGTCAAACCGATTTGTTTGGCCCCTGTTACATCCTGTGACTTCCTGATACCTAGCTCGACGGATCCTGCGCGCACCGAGGGCACGTGGGGAAACCACGCTCCACCCACCCAGCCGCACCTCTTCTTCACCTCAGCCACGGGACAAACCACTGTGGACCGATCCAGACGGTGTTTTCCATTCGTTGCAATCCGTCGTTTTCCATTCGTTGATGACTGCAGTTGTTGATTACTGCGCCTTCAAATTCCATCGGACTTCCTTTGGACCACTTCTATCTCTCCCAAAGCAACTTTGGGATGAAACCTCGAGAGCCAGTCCTGTACACGAGACCCACATGGAAGGAACCAGTTACACAGTTACGACTAAGACCTCATCAGCAACTCATCAGATTCTAAAGATACCCGTCAAAACTAAGCTTCCCATGCTTCAGCAGTAACAAGAAGCTATTAGAAACAAGAAGCTACTAGTAACAAGTGCATCGCTACACGTAACAAGTGC